AGAGTGAGTTTGGGAAAATGAAGTTTCATTTAAAAATCTTTGGGTAAAGGAAGGAAAAATCAAAGGTAAAGAGAGGCTGCTATGTTTCCTTTCCCTAACTACATGTAACTGTTTTTAACAGTTTATTTGGTAAGTGTGTGTGTGCGTGTACGCTTATAGGCACACACACAAAACTGATTATGAATTTGCACTTTCCACAGCATGCAAGCAAATGGTATTTAAGAACAATTCCTTGGTGGTAGCTTCTAACCTTCAAACAGAGCTGATTCCTTAATACCAGTTCACAAAGGAGGATCTGGGGTAAAGAAAAGTATCCCAGCTGAGGAATACCAGTCCTTCTGAAATATGTGGCAGTTCTCTAGTGGACTTACAGGGGTGGATTCCCTGCTGTGTGCTGTTTTTTTCTTTTTAAGTTACCAGTCATATCACTATTTTGTGCAAGCAGTTACATCAGTTTTAGGTGAAAATCACTTTGTGTAAGAGGTCACCTCAATTCCTCTGCATTGATATAATTTCACTTTTCAACTAATCCTACAACAATTGCTCACCCAAGGCTCCCCATCAGAGTTATTAATGAAAATAAATACAGTCTATTTCATGAGGTCATGTTTTATACATTCATGTTTATGCATTTTTAGTCTGCTCAAAATCTTCTTTGTTCCAGATAAACAGCTATATTTTGTTCCTGACAAAACATCAGCTTGTAACAAACAGCTTTGGCCCTGAAAAGCTGCTTCACCTTCATTCAGGAATTTTTATTCCATTGCCCTCTTTATCACTCTGTGTTTTGTTTCCTGTGAGCACCATCCCACAAGTCCTTGCCAAATTGGGTCAAGCTGTGGGCATGATTGTGACAAGAAAGAAATCTCTGAAAGAATCCACCTATTGTTAGCAGATACGATAGGTGAATAATAATCAAAGCAAGAACTTGGATAACAGCATTATTGCATGTTAGCATATTGAATGAGTCTGGAATTGTGGAAAATTAGAATGCTTTGGGCCTATTGTGAATTCTGTTTACTGCAAACAACTTATGCACAAAACTAAGTAATCTGTTTTTGGCAAATGGCAATCTAGTGCCCAATTTTGCGATGCAGTTTAGTATGCAAAACATACTGAACTCTCATTGATTTCATGCCAGAGTCCTGGAATGGAATATAAATTTACCGTATGTATCGTAACAGTCTTTGCTTTAGAAGCAATTAATTATCCTCTGGGGTCTGATCCATGCCTTAGGGAAATATTTAAATGTGTACTTAATTCTTTCTGATGGATGAATCTACCTAAAATTATCTATGGTCCCTTCTGATTCAGAAATAGATTTCTCAATCAGGACAAACTGAATATACTTCAATTCAGGAAAGCAGCAAACTTGGAAAGCTTCACAGAATGCTATAAAACAGTAACTACTCTGGTGACAGGGAAAGGCAGTTCTAAACTTGTCTGAACAAGGACGAGAGCAGTTTAATTTCGAGTATCTGAAAAGCTATCACATATCATATTAGCTTCAGAGGCCTCAGCTGATATACTGTGTTAGACAGCTGAAGGTTCCTCACAAGGAATCATACTGCGTTGTGCAGTCTGACGTACCACCTTGTACTGATTGGTATTAATGACTGGGAAGTGTGAGGAACTGCAAATCCTTCTTGCTTGGGTGGAAGATACAACCTTTGTAAAAGAAAGCCCAGGGTAAATGATTAGATAGTTTTAAGTTCATCCTAACCTTGCATAATCAATAACATTAAAAGCTCTATTTGCCTGCTGCATCATATTTTACATAATGCATCCCTGTGCCTTTGCCATGTTTTGCAAACTTGAAGTGTCTACTTACCCTTTACTATTTAAATCTGAAACCCGCCTAGTTTGACCTATTAGCTGCCATCAGCTGTGCTCTTTCTAAAATGTATTTATCCCTTGGTTTCCATTACGTTATTCTTTCACAGGGATCCTTTTTGTTTTCTGATAAGTAGTTTAATAAGAGCTTTATGAGGATCTTCCTTGATAAACCCCCATGCCGTCTCTTTCTGTTAGCAAGTACACCTTCCACTGCTCTCTCCATACATGACTCACAAATCTTCATTAAGCCAGACTTTCTCCTTCCCATGGAGAAGCAAAAGCATATCAGCAAGGCAAAGCAGATGGTGCTGAGGATATTACATGCATTGTGTGGCAGGGAGGGGGATTGGTTCAGACTAACTTTGGCCTAATAACATGGACTGAATGCCCACTAGCAGTTGAAGCACGTTACACAGACCCCTCGTGCCCATGTGTAGGGTTAGTTTCCACTGAAGGGAATCCATCCAGGTCATGAGCTCCAAAAACTGCTCTGTGATGGGCACCAAAGCTCCATGAGTGGAAACAGTTGGAATATTCACTTTCAAAGCATGCTTGTGGTATGAACCAAAATATAAACGTAAATGCACTGTTAACTGTCATCCTCAGTGGATATAACTGAAATAGAGTTGTTCATCCTTGATACCTATTCTATTTCCTCTT